CGGTTTAGCTAAACAAGGGGCAGAAAGGGATTCACTTTTTTGGGCCAAGCTGTAACTTTAGTGTGTTTTCTTTCTTTTCTCTTTCTTTTTTCCTTTTCTTGARRYTYTTTGTTGCTCTTGGAAGATAAGCGTGTTTGTCTTCCTTTTGTAAATCTTATCAATAGTAGGAAGAGAACAAATCTCTTAAGCACTCAGACCATTACCATACCATCATCTCAACTAAAAGATGGCAGCCAGTTACTTCAGATGTTTGCTACAAGAGCTAGTAGGTCTATCATTTGTGACTATTGAGGTGTCGATGATTACAGGGGAAGCGATGAAGGGGTGCAAGAGAGAATTGAAGTTCCTTTTTAACAGGATTAGGTGAATGATTGTATAGGGGTGTCAGAGGGGGAAAGGGTTCAGGATTAGGTGAATGAGGTGGTTTCCACAAATCTAAGTTAACAGGAGAGGGAGTTTTCAGTGGGGCAGGAGAGAGAAGGGGGTTGTTTATCGAGAGAGATTGAAGAACAAGTCACAAATGAAAGAGACAGTGTAGAGGCAGGAGAAAAGCTTCGGGGTCTATAGAAGGAAGAGAAGTAGAACAAGAAAAGAAGAGACAGGATAAGGTTTTGTTTATAAATTCGAAGGAGGTGGAAGAATTAACTAACAAAAAGAAGGAGAAGACAGGTTTTTCAGAAGAATGAAGAGAAACTATAGAACGAAACCATTGAAAGAGACTTAAGATGGTGAGGAGTCCTTTGGAAATCAAAGGGGAGATGTGATTTGAGATGAAACGCATGAAGTACAAGGAAGCTTATATTTGGAGTTCTTAGTTAACAGGGAAGTGGAGATGAGCAAAATTCTGGGTTTAAGGTTTTTGGGAGGAGAGGAGTTTGCTTGGAAGGTTTTCAGGGAACTAGAAGAAAAGAAACGAACAAAGCACGAGGAGCAGAGAAATAACCTTAAAGATTCTGTTGCGGCTGACTTTCCTGCTGAAGATGGAGGTGTTCAGGCTGGTTTAGTCTTCTTGAAGGGGCAGAGAATGGTATTAGTGAAGGTGATGAGGTGGCAGTGGATATTTTTTTGAGAAAAATGAGGCTTTGGAGTTAGACAGGATCATTGATATGCCGATTGTTTCTGAGACTCCTGCAAAGATTCCTAATGCTGTAAGAAAATTCAAGAGTCAGAACAACCATTGTACAGTGCAGGTGTCTAAAGTTTCTGCTAAATTGAGAATGGAAGAGAGGGAGAATTATGTAGTGGACAGCAAGAGCAGCAACAGTATATGTTATTTGGGAAGAAAGAAATCAAAGGATTTGCAAAAAGAGGAGTAGATCCAATGAAGATATTGTGGACAGTATAAAAAATAAAGATTGCTCATTGGGTAAAAACAATGTAAGCATTCAAGGGGGTAGCGGTGGATGACTTAACAAGGGCTTGGAAAGAAGTAGCAAACTCTTCCACAATAAAAGAAAAAAATAGTGATGGAGTGGAAGGCTCCTCCAAATAATAGAGTGAAGTTGAACAAGCAATCTAGGCTCTATAGGTATGCAAGGGACAAGGTGGTGGCATTGTATTCAGGACCATTGGAGTAGGGGACTCCTTAGAAGCTGAAGTGATGGAATTGTTACAAGGAATGACGATAGATAAACAACTCGGATTTCAGTATGTGGAGCTGGAGGGTGATTCAAAAATGGTACTCTCTTGGATGAACAGCAACCTAGGAGCTTGGATTTACAGGAAAAACATTAAGAGGAATTGGAAGTATTGCAAAGGAACTGGGGGCCACTTTTAGATGGGTCAAGAGAACAGTAAATGGAATGGCTGATTCATTGGCTAAGCAAGGGATGTTTAGAGAGGATTTTTTTTCTGAGCAGAGCTCTAATTGGATCACATAAAATTGTAATGGATGGATGGGTAAAAATACTGCAGCCTTAATTTGTATTTTTTTAATCTAATTAATGAATTTCCTTGTTGCCAATCAAAAAAAGAAAAAAAAAAACTGATGACGCTTAGTCGACCAAATCTAATTTTATTTTATTCTTTTGAGAGAAGGTAAAGTATAGATGCATTAATATGAATAAAAAGCACAGCAAGATGATGTACTCAGGGACCAAAAAAACCTGTCCCCTCTGACCTTGACCCTCCACCTTGCTTTACAAAAAGATTGCCATGTATCCCTTAAACAACGTACAAAGAGCCTGCTCTGCCTAGACATTGCCTACCTCAATTACAAATGCTTGGTCTCCACTATACCTGCCATTCTCATTGATCAATACTATCACAGCAATAAGAAACCTCTTGACATAGAACAAAGGCCATAGTACTTGGATATCGCTAAAATCTTTACTGCAAACCTATTTTGAAATTCTCGATATTGTATAGAATAGTCTCACTTCTTAAATGGTTAATATCATAAAACTCAAGTATTTTTAGTGATATATACATTAATTTATATTTGGCAAACACGATAAGAAATCCAATTCATCCAAAGGACAATCTAAGTCAGTAAGCATGTGTGCCACATGTTCAGAAAGAAGACCAAAAGAATAACCCAAGAGATTTTGGACCATTTCTTTTCAGAGCCAAGGCTGAAAGACATACCTGATAGTAAGGACATCAGCTGCAGGATCATCAACTATGAAACCAGCCAGCTTCCATGTAGGATCCTTTGAATGCACTCTATTGTAAAGAGCTCTAATCCACTTATGTGCATCCCCACTTGCAAATCTTGGTGCTACAATCCAGGCAACAGGGATGGCCTTGTTGTCTGAGTCAAAGACGAGGAGACTATGAACAGGATACTGGACAAGTGGTAGCATCTGTTAGCTTCAAAAGCATTTTGAATTTTCATTAACTTGAGAAATTACAACTGACAGGACTAGAATATGTAAACCAAACAGACCTTCAACTTGTTTGTTCCAAACCTTGAATCAGATGCCACAAGACTACGATTTCCAAACCGGATCATTTGTTGCAACTGCCACTCTGTTTGAATGCCCAGGACAAAGGGGTCTGTATCAGAAAAGTCCTCATAAAAGAAGACATGACTTTGATGGCTCTCAACCCACATAGCAATGCTAACCATATCATCTTCATCCAGTTCATACGTGGAGCGCCGGATACTCCTCTCCAGTCTCCTCACATACCTGTGTGTGAGTAGGTCATCACGATTACATGGACCCCCTTGTCTCTCTACTGATTCATTGTGTCTCTGCATTATTGTTTCCACAGAGACTCCAACATATAGTAGAGATAAGACCCGGAGACGAAGATCATCTGAGATGTAAGGTGCAAACATGGCCCGTGTTCCTACAGCTTTCTTATCCTGCGGTCCATGACAGGGTAGTCCTTTCTTGTCTACATGCTTATCTTGATTATATATGATAAGTGCAACTGATGGTTCCGCAATTAAGCGCTTCACAATGAAATGACAGGTGCACCCTCTCTTTGTGTTTGGCCGGCCGGCAGATTTCTTTTTCGGGATGTAAGTGCTTCTGCTTGGCCGAACAATGCCACCTTTCCGGTGATCGTCTGGGCCAAAAGAGCACCAGTACCTATACATTCAACCAAACAGCTTATATGATATAATTGAAGGGTCTAATAGCAGTAAGTCAGAACAAAGAGTGAAACTTACAGAATATATTCAAGGATGCCATCAACCTTTGGCTTGTAAGGCATCTCTGGAGGCCTTCTCCTTCTTGCTTCAACATGAAATCTGGTGGGACATTCTTTATTTGAAGATTCCCCCCTCACAAAATCGTCCACTCTAGCAAAGGGGATAAGAGCAACTCTATCAATGTTGTCACGCCAACCTTCCACCTTAGACCACACAATATCAGCAGAAGAAAATTCTAAAGTTGGAGGACTCTGCACTGGGAGAGACAGAATCTCATCCCATCTGGCCATCTGCAATGGATGCAACAGAAATTATACATGAACATAAATTGGATTTCAACATTTCATAACTCTGACATAACCATTTTTGTTAACTAACGAATCTCAACTTTTTTGAAGAGAAAAGGAAAAGGACCAAATATATCACATCTTCCAATGTATTAATTTAATGTTGGTACTAGCTATCTGGGGTCTTGGGAGGGTGGACTGAATACAGATCTTTGAACACAAAGTGGCTGCTCAAAGACTCAAATCCACATTATCATGCTTGTCAGCCCATGGATTTACCATTTCACAAAGCAATAGCCCCTAATACCATTATATATCTCCCACTGTATAAGAATCTTAATTATTTCCCTAATAAAAACCTAAGCATTTTCGTTAACTAACAATTTCATAACTCTGACATAATCGTTGTCGTTAACTAATGAATCTCAACTTTTTTGAAGAAAAATAAAGGAAAAGAACCAAATATATCACGTCTTCCAATGTATTGAAGATCAATTTAATGTTGGTACTATCTATCTGGGATCTTGGGAGGGTAGACTGGATACAGATCTTTGACACACAAAGTGGCTGCTCACATACTCAAACCCACATTCTCATGCTTGTCAGACTATGAACTTACCACTACACAAAGCAATGGCCCCTTAATTACCAATATATATCTCCCATTGTATAAAAAACTTAATTATTTCTCTAATAAAAACCTAAGCAAACAATATGTAATAGATGTAGTATCATCTTTGCACTGGTAAATGTATTGGTTCATAATATAACTTAAGCAAGCAATGGCCCCTTAATTACCATTATATATTTCCCACTGTATAAGAATCTTAACTATTTCCCTAACAAAAACCTAAAGCAAACAAGATGTAATAGATGTAGTATCATCTTTGTATTAGTAACTATATTGGTTGATAATATAACTTAAGCAGGCTATGTAACATTCGCATCGTACTTTGCATTGGCTCAAAAGACCCAAGTATGCTCAAACCCAAAAAAAATAGCAACTTGTAAATGTATTATCTAGGCTGTCTGATTCCTGATTTTCTTACCATATAAACTCAAGAGCTTTTCAATTGCGAAGTATATGTCTTATGCGCAAGAGGCAAAAGGAATATGTGAGACACTTGTTTATTCACTATTAATGGGAAGAATTCATTTGGACATTTTTCTTCTCTAAAATTGGGTCCAACTAAGCCAGTGGAGATATTTTCTTTGCAGCCACGATGCCACACGGTTGAGATGTTTCTAATTGGGAGTTCACATCAGCGCCCCATGATGCCACATAGCACATCTCAACCGTGTATTAGAAACATCTCCTAAGGACAAGTATGGAAGATGTTCCCAATACATGACGGGGATGTGCTGTGGAGCGGGCAAGGTTCAAAGTATCGACACGTATCGGCCCGTATCAGCCGATACATATCGTTCCGGGACCCCTCCGATACGCCCCTACAGTGGGTGTATCGGGGGTATGACCGGTTCAGGGTGTGGAGGAATCCTAAACCGACCCCCCTGAACTAGTTGCGAAAAAAAACACACACTAAAAAGTTGTGTATCGAGCGTATCGATATTTTGAACCTTGGGGGCGGCCCCTTGTGGGGCAGAAATGTGAATTCCAGTGGATGGTGCACATCGGGCGCTGATGTGATCTCCCAGTGGTTCGATGAGGGCTCAACGCAAACACGAAGTTAACCAATACAAACCGAGATGCCAAATGACTAACATATCCTAAATACATCGCTTTAGTTTCAAATCTGCCCTTCATCTCAAAATTAGGGCGGGTAAGGTTTTGTCTATTTCATTGTTATCAGCTCTCTTTCTCTGTCGTCTCTTGGACTCTCTTTCGTTCCTTCGTTGCTTCTCCAGAAGAACCAGCAATAAGGTAGCCATTTCTTTTCTTTTGTTTCAATAGAAAACCAAGAAAGTTCTTATTCTTTCTTCCTATTCTCAATTTATTTCAGCTCAAATTTCTTCATGGTGACTTTTTTTTCCATCCTTCCTTTCTTTCTTTACTTTTGTTTGCATAATTCTGTGATTAAATTTGATTTGTTACTAAAAGAATATAATTCTAGATTACTTGTAGCTATTGGTTCGATCACCTAAATTGGGACTTAAGTTTTTAGTCCCCTATAACGCGTCAGTGTTTTTCTTTTTATCTCCCAAAAATGTTTTTTTCTTGGGTTTTAGGTGAAGAGAGCTCCCTATCGGATTGAAGTGGGAGGTTTGAGGTTAGCAGGCTCTGCAGGAAACTGTTTAAGTGAGTACAGAATATAGTTTGCATTAAGATGAGCTCTTTCTTCTACACAAGGGTACTGAAGGATACTTGCTTAAATGAATAGAAAGTGCGGAAAGCGAATTACAATGGAGTTTTTTTTCCTCAATAAATATAATCCGTTCACTTCGTTTGGGTTTTGAAAAGTATCTCTCATGGACAGATTCTTTGAGTGAGTGAAGCTCTGCTTTGGTACTTCTTGCTGCAGCTACAGCATTTCCAAGAGCCCTTTTGTACAAACAATTTGAATGGGTTCAATATTTATTGAATGCTTTGTAGAGTTTATATACCCAGGGTTTCTATGGGATATTCTTGGCTCGTATAGAAAAAGTTTTTAAATACCCATGCATCTTTATTCTTCCCTCCTCTCAAGAGTTGTACAAATATAATTTTCAGCCGTATAGTAGGCATCTTTTTGCTTAGGGATTAAGGCGTTGTATTTTATTAAATTATGTTCTTTTCTTTAATATCACATTAAAGCGTTTTTCATGTCTTTTTAGTTTTATTTGACGATATTTTGGCCCAAGTTTTCTTCATGGGATTCTTCCTTCTATCACCCATGTTTTTTTTTCTAGGTATGGCTATGATATCCTGCACTTCAGCTTGCATAGGAGGCAGATTTGTAGGTATGGACGTGGGTGGGTGGGTAGAGTTTGGACAAACCATGGCAATCTAAAAATTATAAATGCCAAATACAGGATGGATTGGTAGGGTTTAAATCAATGAATGATACTTGTATTAAATAGTCTTTCTACTTGTTGGATTTGCACAGTACTTGGAAAATTTTGAAAAAGCACTAGGGATACCCAATCAATATTCTAGCTTTTCAAACTAGGACTTTGGAGATAGACTAGAATGTTGGGTAGAATTAGATTATGGAAAGTTGTCAAGACTGAACAGCTACAATGGTGAGTATCCACAAATTGATGGCTAATGGCTGAGATGCTAGCCTTTCCTCTAAGACTCTAGACAAACTCCTGCTTCCCCTTAGAAAGCCATACATAGTATCCTCTCCCTTCTCTTCTCAGCTTTATTAGATATGATGCCTATTTGGGCGATTGAATTCTTTTCAGGAAGATCTGTGGGTGGAGGACRTACCTTTGAAAGAGCATTTCCATCCTTGTATTTACTTTCCTCTTATAAAAGGGAACCTGTCTTGAGCTTTTTCCCTTGTCTTCTACTTTTGGGGTTGATTGGGACTTTGATTTTAGAAGAGGTTTTCATGAGTTGGAAAAATATATATCCTAAYTGGTTTTAAAAGATTCCAATCTATTTGGTAAAGAATTTTCACCAAGCAAAAGAAAACATATGTCCAAATTGAAATAGAAAATAAGAACCCAAAAGCCAAATTCAAGCACCCCATTAACTAGCTTCAATGTTAACCACAAACAATCCTGTATGCTTCTCTCTCCTTCTCTCTAAAGGTAAAAGTATTATATTAAAGAACAAAACAAAGAACCTACCCACTACARCAAGGAGTTGTGATGGGATAGAAACATTCTGTACATCTCACTGTTGTGAATTAATTACAAAATAATGAAATAATGTATCCATGTCAAAAAATCATTATTAAGGAGTTCCCTTTTAACTCCTGTGCACCCCCACCAATGAATACATTTTCCCTAAAGGATTTTAGCAAGAGATTCTTCCACGCTGGTGCTATTGTCAAAAATCCAAGCATTYCTTTTAGTCCAGATCTCTATTCATATATTTTAATTCTGGAAGGCTTAGATGATTGATAACTATCTTAAAAGAATGTTCTTGTTCCTTTATCTCCTAACACTTCAACGCTGCAAACAAATGATGCCCCATGGTACCTTTGCTTATTGGTACTTTCTAAACATGGCTGCAAAGAAAATATCTCCACTGGCATCAGTTGCTAATGTCAATCGTATATTCCACTTATCAACTGCAAAGTCTGGATACCTTTGATTGAAATCTATCCAAGCATCTCCGTCAGCTGGATGGCGAAGCATTCCATCTTTTGTCCTTCCATCCTCATGCCATGTCATACTCTGGGAAGTCTTACTTGACATTAATAGTCATTGTAATCTCGGGATGAAAGGGAAGTACCGTAACACCTTCACAGGCCTTTTCCTCTTTGAAAGGGTAGCATTCTGATCACAATCGTCTAATTCACAATTATTGTCACTCTTCCATCTCGATTCACCACACTTATCACACATGTCCTTTTCCACAGCATCACCCCAAAAAAGCATATAGCCATTTTTACATGCATCAATTTTCTCCATCTTACACCCGATATGGACTGCAAACTGAACAGATACTAAATCTAGAAGATGTTCCATCTAATAGATCATTTGGATTGAGCAAATGATTCATCCACATGGTGGCCTGATAAGGCCAACTAGACTTCTTTCCCGTTCAAACCACACATCAAACAGGTGAGCATATGCCTGTTGCATATATAATCTCTACAATAAGACATACACTGTCCTTATATGGGTAAGTATAAATTTCTTTTTTTGTAAATTCATATATAATCCCTACAATAAGAAAACTCACCAAATAGTTTGTATGATGACAAGATATGAACACGGATATAGAAAACAGGGATATGACTCCATTTTTTTTTTTT